CATGAGCGTGAGTGGCGGTCTCTGTAGCTCACAGGTCTCTATGAGAGTGAGTGGAGGTCTCTGTAGCTGACAGGTCTCTATGAGAGTGCGTGGAGGTCTCTAGCTCACAGGTCTCTATGAGAGTGAGTGGAGTTCTCTGTAGCTCACAGGTCTCTATGAGAGTGAGTGGAGGTCTTTGTAACTCACAGGTCTCTATGAGAGTGAATTGAGGTCTCTGTAACTCGCAAGATCTCTATGAGAGTGAGTGGAGGTCTCTCTAGTTCACAGGTCCCTATGAGAGTGAGTGGAGGTCTCTGTAGCCCACATATCTCTATGAGAGTGAGTGGAGGTCTCTGTACTTCATAGGTCTCTATGTGAGTGAGTGGAGGTCTCTGTAGCTGACAGATCTCTATGAGGGTGAGTGGAGGTCTCTGTAGCTGACAGATCTCTGTGAGAGTGAGTGGTGGTTTCTGTAGCTCACAGATCTCTATGAGAGTGAGTGGAGGTCTCTTTAGCTCACAGATCTCTATGCGAGTGAGTGGAGGTATCTGTAACTCACAGGTCTCTATGAGGGTGAGTGGAGGTCTCTGTAGCTCACAGATCGCTATGAGAGTGAGTGGAGGTCTCTGTAACTCACAGATCTCTATGAGAGTGAGTGGAGGTCTCTGTAACTCACAGGTCTCTATGAGAGTGAGTGGAGGTCTCTCTAGCTCACAGGTCTTTATGAGAGTGAGTGGAGGTCTCTGTAGCTCACAGGTCTCTATGAGAGTGAGTGGAGATCTCTGTAACTCACAGATCTCAATGAGAGTGAGTGGTGGTCTCTGTATCTCACAGATCTCTATGATAGTGAGTGGAGGTCTCTGTAACTCACAGGTATCTATGATAGTGAGTAGAGGTCTCTGTAGCTCACAGATCTCTATAAGAGTGAGTGGTGGTCACTGTAGCTCACAGGTCTCTATGAGAGTGAGTGGAGGTCTCTATAGGTCACAGATCTCTATGACGGTGAGTGGAGGTCTCTGTAGCTCACAGGTCTCTGTGAGAGTGAGTGGAGGTCTCTGTAGCTGACAGATCTCTATGAGGGTGAGTGGAGGTCTCTGTAGCTGACAGATCTCTATGAGAGTGAGTGGAGGTCTCTGTAGTTCACAGGTCTCTATGAAAGTGAGTGGAGGTCTCTGTAGCTGACAGGTCTCTATGAGAGTTAGTGGAGGTCTCTTTAGCTCACAGATGTCTATGAGAGTGAGTGGAGGTGTCTGTAACTCACAGGTCTCTATGAGGGTGAGTGGAGGTCTCTGTAGCTCACAGATCTCTATGAGAGTGAGTGGAGCTCTCTCTAACTCACAGATCTCTATTAGAGTGAGTGGAGGTCTCTGTAACTCACAGGTCTCTATGAGAGTGAGTGGAGGTCTCTGTAGCTCACAGCTCTCTATGAGAGTGAGTGGAGGTCTCTGTAACTCACAGATCTCTATGAGAGTGAGTGGTGGTCTCTGTAACTCACAGTTCTCTATGATAGTGAGTGTAAGTCTCTGTAACTCACAGCTATCTATGATAGTGAGTGCAGGTCCATGTAGCTCACAGATCTCTATGAGAGTGAGTGGTGGTCACTGTAGCTCACAGGTCTTTATGAGAGTGAGTGGAGGTCTCTGTAGCTCACAGATCTCTATGATAGTGAGTTGAGGTTTCTGTAGCTCGCAGGTCTCTATGAGCGTGAGTGGAGGTCTCTGTAGCTCACAGGTCTCTATGAGAGTGAGTGGAGGTCTCTAGCTCACAGGTCTCTGTGAGAGTGAGTGGAGGTCTCTGTAACTCACAGGTCTCTATGAGAGTGAGTGCAGGTATATGTAGCTCACAGGTCTCTATGAGAGTAAGTGGAGGTCTCTGTAGCCCACAGGTCTCTATGAGAGTGAGTGGAGGTCTCTGTAGCTGACAGATCTCTGAGTGAGTGGAGGTCTTTGTAGCTCACAGATCTCTATGAGATTGAGTGGAGGTCTCTGTAGCTCACAGATCTCTATGAGGGTGAGTGGAGGTCTCTGTAGCTCACAGTTCTCAATGAGAGTAAGTGGAGGTCTCTGTAGCTCACAGGTCTTAATGAGAGTGAGTGGAGGGCTCTGTAGCTCACAGATCTCTAAGAGAGTGAGTGGTGGTCTCTGTAACCTACAGGTTTCTATGAGAGTGAGTGGTCGTCTCTGTAGCTGACAGGTCTCTATGAGAGTGAGTGGAGGTTTCTGTAGGTCACATATCTCTATGAGACTGAGTGGAGGTCTCTGTAACTCACAGGTCTCTTTGAGAGTAAGTGGAGGTCTCTGTAGCCCACAGGTGTCTATGAGAGTGAGTGGTGGTCTCTGTAGCCCACAGGTCTCTATGAGAGTGAGTGGTGGTCTCTGTAGCTCACAGGTCTCTATGAGACCTAACGAGGTCTCCCCAGGATAATGGAGCTCTATGCAGCTGAATGGAGGCGCACAGCCCACACTCTGAGCCAATCTCGCCCTCCTCTTCCTCCTTCTCCTCTCACGAAAAGAGCGAGCGAGCGAGAGGGAAACAATCCCACGACCCAAATTAATCAACACGGAATCTCCCCTGCATTAGAGGGAATGTTGCCGGGCTCTGTTCGGCGTTCATGCTTCTGTCAGGGACCATAGAGAGAGAAAATCCACAGCATTAACTCAGACGCCCCCCGCCCCCTCCCCCCAAGAGCCACACACACGCACGGGCACAAAAGGCAAAGACCCCCCGTGTAGCCTACACAGAGCGTTGGGGGCAAGTTCTGTTTAACGAGCACCTTTTGGAGGCCCGTACGGCACATTCGACGGGGGTGGGTTGCGGCCAGAATCCACCCGCGGCCGCCTTTGTCTCCCCAGTGCTGAAGTTTACCACAACCGCGCCAGGATACTCATCTTGGGCTGAGTCGACCCTGGCGGGGTGCAGGACGGATTCAGATAATCGCCACTGGTGCTGGTGGCCGAGTGTGCGCGCGTTCAATTCATTTGGGCACCGTTCGTAGGCTGCCGCGCGAATCGGAGGTGCGGTGGCCGCGTGTCTCTGCAAATTCCAGGGGACTCGGGCGATCGTGTTTGGAGCGCAGCGCAGCGATCGCTGCCCCACCGCTGACCCCACACTGAACGGCGTCCGTCGATGCTGAAACACCCGCACGGCGATTATTATACGGGGCGCTCCAAAAAATGTTAACACTTAAATGGGACTATTTTTTTTTATGGAAAAAGAACGGATAATACAATGGAACGTGATAACAAATGTACGTCAATGGGTTTTGGGGTCCTCTGGTCTAACACCGTTTGAGAAGAGGCTCAAAAGAAAGCTGTCTCTGGTGTGGACCAATCAGTTTCAAAGACAATGCATATATTAGCAGAGTGTTTTTGGTTTGCATTCTGACCACAAGTATCGTGGTTAATGCAGAAATGATTCCTTGTAAAAAGGTTTTTTTTGTTTTTTGCCAGACGAAAGAATAAAAAAAAACTTATTCTCGGCTTCAAAAAAAGCTAAAGAGTCTCCCATTTGTTCGCGCATTTCTCGTGGTGTCTGTTGCAAATGTATCAGAAGTGTTAACAACAAAAACATTTTTTCAGCACCCCGTACCCCGTGGCGAGGCCCCAGGACGGGCTCAGCCATCGCCGTGCGCGGAACTCGAACTTGGGTCGCCGAAATAGACAAAGACCCCCATTTGTTTCTTTTTGTAAGACTGCTGGGGCAAGTGCTGTTGTTGTACGCTACACGCAGCGCACTCGGGAGATTTGCTCGCCGGCAGACTCGGTTGCACCTGCGCACACCTGTACAGGTGTGCACGTGTACAGGCGCACACCTGTACAGGCCGGGTGGTCTGGTATCCTGTTCTCTGAGCGCGGAAGGGAAGAAGCAGAAGAAGAAGAAGAAAAAAAACAATTAAATAAAGAATTAAAGTGCGAGGCTGCCTGAAATCTTTGTCGGATTTGAGCAGAGAGGTAATTAATTAGGGGCAGAGTCGTATGTTTGGTGGCGGCCGCGAATGTTCGCATACTTGCAATGAAAGGCGATACACGCACACAAAAGACAAATATCCCCGCCGTATAGCCTTCAACAACAACACACACAAAAAAAAGACGCGTGGGGTGCGAGTGCGTCAGCGAGCACCTACGACGGCAGACGAGGGGGTGGGTGGCCAGGACTCGGAGGGAAATCCACGCGAGCACGGGGAGAGAGAGAGACACCGCAAACTCCAAACATACAGCAGCAGGCGTCAGGGTTGGGATCGAACCCACGACTTCCTGTATACCAGGCGAGGTAGTTAACATCTCCTAGCCACCGTGGCGCCCCACACACGAAGACAAAGATCCCCCATATCCCCGTATAGCTTTAACATGCTGTAGGAGCAAGTGCTGTTAGCGAGTAGCACCTATGCAGGACGGCACACGAGGGGTGCGCGGCCAGCACCACGCCCGGCCACCTTTGTCTCCCCAATGGTGATTTTTATCACACGCCACCGGGTAGTTATTTCAGGCTGAGTCGACCTAGGGGAGGCCCAGGACCGGATCATATAATAGTCACTGGTGTTGACCGTGAGTGGGAATCGAACCCGGGTGGCCGGATTCGTAGCGCAGCGTGGCGCTAACCACTACACTACCGCTCCACACACCGACACAAAAGATAGATCTCCCGTATAGCCTTAACAGCCTGTAGGGGCAAGTGCTGTTAGCGAGTACCTATGAAGGCCGGAACGGTACACGAGGGGGTGGATGGCCAGCACCAGGCCCGACTGCCTTTGTCTCCCCAGTGGCGATGTTTACACACCGCACCAGGTACTAATTTTAGGCTGAGTCGACCTAGGGGAGGCCCAGGACCTGCTCAGACAATCGTCACCGGCGTTGGCCGTGAGCGTGAATCGAACCCGGGTCGCCGGGTTCATAGCGCAGCGCGCTGACCGCTGCACCACCGCTCCCCACACCGACACACACACACAGACAGACACACACACAGACACACAGACATACACACACACGCGCGCGCGCACCGCCCTCTCACATTACATCTCATACCCAGAGTCGAGCCCCCCACTTGCCCGCGGCCCCCCTCGCCCGTGAACTCGGCTCCCGGAGGCTCCTCGATGCCGCTCGGCTTCTCGTGGAGCGCAGTGCCTCCCGGCTCCACCAGCTTGGCATGCAGGAACATCTGGGTAACGACATCGTTAGCCTGGTTATCGTACGAAGACGACGATGATGATTACGGTGGGAATGAACACACGTACCGTATGTATGTTGTGAACCATCTTTGGCGCCATACGTAGCCAACCGCGCTAATCGGAGGTGCGGGGGGAAGGACAACGCAAAGTAAACACCAAAAGCAGTTCTAAAAGAAATTAGTTTGTCAATCTAGGTGATTTAAAAGTGCATAGCTTCAGCGGCGTCTTAATATCGAAAGGAAGAGCGTTCCAGAGGGCCACAGAAGCGCATCCCAAAGCGCGCGGCGACTTTCTTTACACGAACACATCAACAGTCTCACAACGACGATGACTGTAAAATATCGCAAATCACCCATCCGTCGGTCTCCCTGCCATATACTACTCCGTCTCTACCACTTCAAAAAAAACCCACTAAAACAAAGTGATTCTCACCAAACCCATCAGCTGCACGGCCGTCGGGAAGTGCGTAATTCCAGCTGCATCGATTCAAGACGAGCAAAACCTCACGATCAGTTTATAGGCTAGGGCTGATTTCGACATTCACTGTATCATCATCATCATCATCAGCAGCAGCAGCGCTTTGCTTGAACCCGTGCTCTCCAACAGCATTGGTTCAATGCTGTTCGTGATTGCATCGTTACGGATAACATGTAGATAACGTTTCGGGCAAGCAGTCTTTTGCAGAGTAGAGTTAACAGAGAAGGTGGTGGGGGGGGGAGGTGCAGGAAAATGGACTGACCGGTGTTTGGAGATGTCAGTTTACACTGTGCCAGGATGACCCAGTACCGGTTCGGACATCACTGGCCACTGCTGTTAGCCGTTGAACGGGAATCTAACTCAGGTGGTCAGCATCACAGCGCGATCATCACCACAGGGATGGAGGGGGGGAGGGAGGGGGACCTTTGGCACGGTAACGGAATCGTCGGTGTAAAGCAGGTCAATTGAGCGACCGTATTAAGCGAGACTCATAAAAGATGCATGTCACGACAGCGTGCATGGTAAACAAACTTTATGTTAAACGATCAACACAAAGAGTGGCGGCTATACGATCTGCTTTGTTTATCGCGCATTCTGCTCTCGCTACCCCCCCTCCCTCTACCTCCACAGCCCGTGCCCCCCTCTGTAAACGCCCCCCACTCCCCCCACCCCCCCCCCCCCTTTGTCCACGTGTTCCGATGTGCGTCTCGCGGCGACGACGGCGACGATGATGATGTCTATGGTTTGGCTGCACACGTGAAGGGGACTCGCTCGAGCGGAGAGAATTCGCTTGCGGAGACATAGCTCCGTGCCCTACGTGGAGTTACGCTGGGAGCCAGGAGGAGTCGTTGTAGCACGTGGATTCAACGTAAGCGGCCTAGGGCAGAGCGCGGTGGCGTAGATGTTAACTCCCTCGCCTGGTATGCAGGAGGTCGTGCGTTTGATCCCGACCCTGGCGCCTACTGTATATTTGGAGTTTGCATGCTCTCTCTCTCTCTCGCTCTCTCCGTGGTCGCGTGGATTATTCTACGGGTCCTCCGGTTTTCCCCTCCACGTTTAGAATGAACGTGCGTTTGGAGAGTAGTTGGCTTCTATAAATGTCCACGTGATAAGCCCCTTCGATGAGCTATCATTTGTGGCTAGGTTGCTTCTGAAGAAGCGCTGTGTAGCTCAGTGAGCCCTACCTGCTAAAATAAAAAAATAAAAACGTTTGGTAATAATTTAGTTTGTAGATTAACACGTGTCTCACAGAACACGTGGATTCGACGAGAACAGGATTGGGCGGGACGTGTCATAATAATTATATATATGTGTATTTTGAACTTCTTTCGCATTGTACGCGAGCACATCGTCTCTTGAGAATTGTTTTCTGCGTGTTTAGTTTGTCGTCCTTCCCCCGCACCACCGATTAGCACGTTTGGCCACGATGAGCTATGAAGCTCTTTTTTTACAGATGTTTCAGTAGGGGCGGGTCAGAAAGTTACAACAACAACAACGACACAAAAAACCGACGGGAGTGCAGAGTGAGCATGTCACTAAAATATATTAATAAAAATAAAGTATAAATTGCAAAAGTGTATCAATTCCTGCTGATTATTCAACAATAAATGCAAGCTTGGGCAAGGCAGCAAAACAACAGTCACAGACCACAGCGAGATAACAACACACGGTCCCCGAATAGAATTGCACTTTAAATTATATATTCATAATATGTTTGTGAACGTGGAAATCTTGTCCGGTGGTGGAGGGTTAACAACAATAATACCACGTGACCTTGCAACATATGGATCGGTGTACGCGTGTGGGGCGAGAAACCTCTACGTGTTGAATATGCATGGGTCGGCACACAGATGCACACATGCATTGCATACACAAACACATACATTGCTTATATGAACACATACATTACGTACATAAACACATACATACATATATTCAGCACACATACAGTACACAAAGGATCCCCTCTTTCCTCCCCCCCACCCTCTCCCCTTCGCCCCCCCCCCCCCCCCCCCGTTTTAATCCTCATAGACTGCTAGGCCAAGTGCTGTTAGCGAGCATCTATTAAGGGCGGAACGACGCACGTGGCGTGGCCAGTATTACTCCCGGCCGTCTTTGTATCCCCATTACTGATGGTTTTATCACCCGAAACAGACACTAAGTACGTACGCAAACAACTGTGCCACCAATATTCGTGTATATATACGCAATCCATGCATGTGTAGTGACTACTTGTCACTGTGTGCTGCACACAGTCACTACACCTGTGAGAATCGTATTCAGTTATAATAAAGATGATGCTGGATGTAATTACCAGCGAAACGTCGTACTCAAAATTGTAAATTATGTTGATTCGCTCTTCAACACACCGGTGGGCTAAAGTAGTGAACTATTTGTCTTTTGTAAACGTGAGCCATTTTTTTACTGTTTGGCCGTGTCGGGTGGTGGAGGGTTACGACACATCTATAAGTAATGCGATCTAACCCAAAAAACTTTATTATGAATAATATTGGTCGCGAAAGCCTACGTGTAAAACTCGCATTCATTGATCGATATCAATGTTGTGGTTGTTGTTCGTTTTTGTTGTTTAAACGGAGTGATAAGTCAAGAGACCAGGGTAGGAATCTCGAGTGGCCTCGGTTCTCACGAAATTGTCGAAAACAAAACTAAAAAATATAACTCAGCGTAAACACAAATAACTTGAGAAGTTGAAAATATGGCACGAAGTTACAAATTCGATCTTCAAAAGCGCGACACCTTGTCGCGTGAGTAACCGAGGGAACAGATTTTAAGTCAGACCGATCACAGCACGATTGGGACATTAAGTTACGAACAAGCTCAACGAATAGAGAGAGGAGGGGGGGGGTATTGTACGAGCGTGTAAACAGACGTTGGTTGATCATACGCCGTCAGAATGGAACCTCACGTAAAATTATCACAGAGAATCGATAGTTTAGCATCGCAGGGTGACTGTGGCCTGATGAAGCTGGTTGTAATTACTGGCGAAACGTCGTACTCAGATTGTGAATGTTGTGGATTTGCTCTTCAACACACCGGTGTGCTGTACTAGTAACGAATTGGCACGATCTGTTTACGAATTGGCTGTGTCGGGTGGTGGCGGGTTTAACGACACTTAGATTCACGTGATCTATACTCTTTGGTTCTATTGGGTAAAGTCACGTAGGTGAAAATAAAATAACAAAAAATCACGACGTTTCGGCCACAACACAAGCGGCCTTCATCAGGTGAAGGGACGAGACTGTCTGGAGGACAGCGCTGGAGTGATCTAACCCAAAACACCCGATATTATGGATGATATTGATCGCGAAAGCCTACGTGTTAAAATCACAGGCTGATTTAGATGTGAGAGGAACCACCGACTTTGTTTGAAGGGGTGGAATCCCACGTGGTTCGTGGGATTAAGACGAAGTATACAAAGACAAAGATTCCCCTCGTATAGCCTCAACAGGCTGTTGGGGCAAGTGCTGTTAGCGAGCATCTATGAAGACGGGCACGGCACGAGAAGGGGTGGGTGACCAGCACCACGCTCGGCAATATTTACACACTGCACCAGGTACTCATTTGAGGCTGAGTCGACCTAGGGAGTTCCAGCACCGGTTGAGATCATTGTCATCGGTGTTGGCCGTGAGAGGGAATCGAACTTGGGTCGCTAGGTGCTATGGCGCTGCGCGCTAACCACTACACCACCGCTCTCCACAAATGTAGTCACCACGGCGCTTGTGCCAGGCTAGGTGCACGTCAAGGCTAGGACAGACCCAGCAGGTGGGTTGCCTTACTGATATGCAGATCGCACATACATATTCACTCGCACGCAGATACAGTACACGCGATGCGTAAATACAAGCATCAAGTGCACGCGCACAACGATATAAATATACAAAGATCCACTGTGTAGCCTCCCACAAACTGTGGGTGCAAGTGCTGTTAGCGAGAGCCTATTATGGCCGGTACGGTGGCCAGCACCACGCCCGTCCGCCTTTGTCTCCCTCGCGGCGATGTTTACACACCGCACCAGGTACTCATTTGAGGCTGAGTCGACCTAGGGGAAGCCCAGGACCGGTTCAGATAATCGTCACCGGTGTTGGCTGTGAGCGGGAATCGAACCCCGCTCCACACGCACGTGCACACACACACGCATGTACATACATCTAAAACACACACACGCATGTACATACATCTAAACACACACGCATGTACCTACATCTAAACACACACACGCATGTACATGCATCTAAACACACACACGCATGTACATACATCTAAACACACACACGCATGAACATACATCTAAACACACACACGCATGAACATACATCTAAACACACACACGCATGTACATACATCTAAACACACACGCATGTACCTACATCTAAACACACACGCATGTACATACATCTAAACACACACACGCATGTACATACATCTAAACACACACACATGTACATACATCTAAACACACACGCATGTACATACATCTAAACACACACACGCA